TTCAAATCTTAGGTAAAATTGTAATATTCTTTGCTTGATTTAGTATTGTTATAAATAAGAATATAATGATTACATAAATGTAATATAAATCATATTTGAAGGTGCAGGGTGTAATTTCCTCAAATAATTTTGACCCCAAGAAAGGAAAGTCCTAATTATGGGCCCATACAAAAAAGAAAAATCCTAACTATGAGCCCATATAAAAAAAAATTCTTAATTTAACAATAAATTTAATAAAGAGTATTGCCTTTTAATTTAATAAAAATTTTGAAACTTCATATATTAACTCAATAGAGTCTGGGAAAGCCAAAAATCTTAATTTAACAATAAATTTAATAAAGAGTACTGCTTTTTAATTTAATAAAAATTTTGAAACTTCATATATTAACTCAATAGAGTCTGGGAAAGCCGGCAAGGTAAAGGTCACGCAGAAGAGAATAAAAAAATGGGGAAAAGAAGAGAGGAGAAAGATAAAATAATCAAATGATTTATTAATTTTTGGTTCAATTGTTCAAGAAGACGAAGTGAGATAACGAAATTTCTTTATGTTTATTTTGGTGGAGGTAAAATTTGTTCTTCTTTATTTTTTAAGAATAGTAAATTTATTCTTTTTATGTAAAAGTTGTAAATTCAATTCCTAATGTGCTTATAACTTTTTAAAGTGTGATATGTCAAAATTGAGAATTTCAATTGATTGTCAATTTACAATATTATTTTTTGTATATCATATATGATGAGATATTTTCAAAAAATGCTCGGTCAACAAAGTGCTTGTGAAAATGACCCAAAACGAGATACTTTGAATCGAAATAGATATGAGGAAGATTCTAGTATCATTAACACTACAAGAAAATAGAGTTCTAGTGAAGAATTTTTTTGTCACTATATCTACAATTGTTGTCACTATATCTACTGTCAGTATATCTACATTTTTGTCACTATATATCTACAGTTGTTGTCTCTATATCTACAATTGTTGTAGATATAGTGACAACAACTGTAGATATAGTGACAGTAGATATAATGACAACATAGTAACAAAAAAATTCTTCACTGGAACTCTATTTTCTTGTAGTGATTAGGCCCCCTCATTATTTTTGCTAGAACAACCATTTTCCACGGTTTATTGTTGTAGAAATATCTATTGAAATATGAAAATTTCACTAGAATTTCATTTACTCATATTTCAACCGTTGGAAAATCTACTGTTAGAAACATCAAATCCAACGAATTATCCATTGAAATATGAAAATTTCGCTAGAATTTCTTTTACTCATATTTCAATCGTTGGAAAATCTACTGTTGCAATCATCAAATCGCACGAAAGTTGCAATAGAAAACTCATTTCGGCGGAATATTATTATCGAAATTCTCATTCAAATATGTAGGGAAATTTCAAGAAAAATAGTATTAGATTATTTATTAAAATTTCATTGAAATATTTCTATTAGATGTGCAACATTTGTAGTAAGTCTTACCATCATTCAAGTATGTGTCTTCTGTTACTACCCAGTCCAAAGCACGATTGACTTTTTATTTTAATTTTTTAGAGCTCATATGGTCCAAAGTCAAAATCATCAAGATGAAAGTTTAGGTGAATTGCTTTGATTTCCAACTGGCAGTAATAAAAAACCTGTTGACATCTTTACTCATGCTTAATTATGCAACATACGCTAAAGTACATACCAAAGAACAACAAATTTCATATATGTTAGGTGTAACATTATACGCATCAATTATCAAAAAAAAAAAAAAAATTAAAACTTACGCAAACCAAGACTCTTCACATGAGTTTAGAAAGCATCTCTGCATATAAGTTTAGTTAAGGATCAACTATCATTTTATTCGTGGGCATATACTTAATGACAACTTCTTTAATTTTTATTGCATCTCGTACAAAATGATAACGCCTTTTGATATGCTTGGTTTTTCATTGAAACTTCGGATCCTGAGCATACTGGATAGCAGCCGTATTATCACAATTCATTTCTACAGGTTCATCAACCTTTGGGGTGAGGTTGAGATCCTGTAGAAAATTCCTCAACCATATTGTCTGTTGAACGGCAATGCAATTGGAAACATACTCAGCTTCCATAATCGAAAGAGTTATGCAATCTTATTTTTTACTGTACCAGGATATTGCACCTCCACCAAATACAAAGGCATATCCTGAAGTTGACTTTGACTCATCCAGATCGCCACCCCAATCAGCATCCAAGTATCCTTTTAATTTCAAGGACCCACCTTGATAGCAAAGTACAAAGTCACTTGTACACGCAGGTACCGCAAGATTCTCTTGACAACTTGCGAATTTGCAGGCCCAGGGTTGCTTTGGTAATGACTTACTAAGCCAACTGCAAAGCAGATGTCTGACCGTGTACATAACATAGCATACATCAAGCTTCCTACTGCACTAGCATACGGAACATTGCTCATTTTATGTTTCTCTTCATCTGTTTTCGGACATTTGTCAAGATTTAAGGTTAAACTCTTTTCGACTGGGGTATCAAATGGGTTTGGAATAATGCATTCGAAAACGCTCTCAGATTCTTTTAATATAGGTTTCTTGAGACAAACCAAGAAGTTTTGAGGACAATTTCAGATTATTTCCAGTCCTAGGACATACCTAGCTTCACTCATGTCCTTCATTTCAAAGTTAGAGGACAACCACTGCTTAGTGTAGTTGATCATTCCCACGTCGTTTCCAACCAACAATATGTCATCAACGTATAAAGAAAAAAACAAAACTCCTTCTTCACTTTTCTTGACATACACACAGTGATCATCATCAACCATTATATAGATATATATACATATAGATATATAGATTAATCCATATATTTTCTTCTCAAATCACAAACTTCTGTTTTTTTTTTTCTCCTCAACAGACTGTAATTTTTTTAGGGACAATAACAATAACTAATACAGTAGCTTTTTCCAGCTGAAAAATCTCTTCTTTTTCTCCAAAAGCTTCTCAATCTGCTTCTCCATATTCATGCACTGGCTCTGCAGCCTCAGGACATCATCCTTTAACCTCCTGACCTCCATATTACGCGTGGCCATCTCACGTTTGGACAGGCACCGAACAGGGCCATCGAGCCCGATAACCGGGCTACGTGGCCCGGTCAAGGACCCGCTCCAGTCTATCACGTGCTTGCTGATTTTGTATTGCTCCGAAAGGAGGACTTGGATCACGGCCCGAACGGGGAGCCTCTCGTTTTGGGCTGCGTGTAGCGATGCCTCTGTCGAAAGCTTTCGGGCATCGATTAAGTTGAATAGTCGTTTTCGGTCTTGTTTGGACAAAGATGGATGTGCCTTATCAAGTAATTATAGGATTGAAAAACATGTACGGTTATAATTAGACAAGATAAAAATCTGCTAACACCTTGGAGTGTCACAAGTTAAATTATAGTGTTCCATTTGATGTTATTTTTTGGGGAAAAAAAAAAAATAAAGTGTGATAGTTGATAGTTGTGTATGCAGGAGTAAAATTGTCCTGATCAATGAGCAGCAGAAAAAGTGAATTCCCAGCAATCTTGGATTTTTCTTGTCAGGATGAAAAGTATGTATCATAAATCAATAATAGCCTAGAAAAGTCCTATCTTGTTGGTTCTTTTGAAGGAAAGAATCTTGAGCTGGTTGCACACAATCCTTTCTTTTTGGCACTGTTGGTCAAGAAAGGCCATGGGGCCGAACGGGTCCGCGCCCGGGCAACCTCAAGTTCTTCTCGAGTAACATCGGACCGGGTGAGTCTGGTGCTTACGGAGCCCGTCCAGTAACTATATGGGCCCATCGATCGAGGGCAGGTTAGTAGAAAAGGTGTGTTCATAGTTTTGAGAAAAATAATGACTTTTTATGTGTATTAGTTATTGACAAACTCCAAAGGACACATACACACATCTACATTTTTAGCTACACTGGACAAAGAGACTTACTTTGAGGTACGTGTCGATGGCCCGATAGAGCCCGTCATCCGAAGCCCGTGCATGATCGGGCAGCAAGCTGGCGAGCTCGACAAAACCCGACAAGCCCAAATTGGAGTCCAAAGCCACCTCTGCTAGATAACCATCCACCAGCTTGGACACCTTTACGAGCGCGGCTCCACTCCGGGCCTCATCAAGGCCAGTGAACTCCTTCACGACCCGGACGACAAGCCAAAAGTCGAGCAGCATCGTCCCGGGCTCGTGGCCGAAGCAGGGTATCATCAGGTCCTCCAGCTCGGCCCGGTCCAGCTGCCGGGCAACCCGGGCCTCCAGCTCGGCCCGGTGGGCTGGCCCCACCCCGACCATGCACGCAGCCCGCAAGGCCCGTAAGAGGAACCCGCACGGGACCGAGTTTTTGTCCGGAGGGAGGACCTCCACCAGGGACTCGATGAACAGTTTCTTCTTGGCCCACGAGGAGGTGATGCTTTCTCTAGGGGATTTGGGCTTGGGCTCAGGCTCATGCCCGGGCCCGGATAGTTCGGGGAGGTGTTTGGGGGCGTAGTGTGTGATGATTGAGGCGACAAGATCGGGCCGGGCTCCTTTGGACTGGATTCTTGAGAGTGTCTTGATAAAGTAGTCGGAGTCTGGGGTAGTAGACTGGTTGTCGGGCCCGAGCTCGGATTCGAACAGTGTAAGATTGCAGAATGATTTGATGGATTCTTGCAGTTGCAGTGAAGGGTTCTGCATTTTTTTGGATTTTTTTGAATTTAGGAGTTGGCAGTAAGGGGTTTCTATTGTGAGAGAGCTAAAAAATTGGAAGGGAAAATGGTTGTGTTGTGTGAAGAGAAGTTGGTTAGTCACACTGAATGGTTTGTGTACAGTGCATTGGGATGGTGTGTAACAAATTTGATGGGCATATGGGAAATTATTTTTATATGGTCTAATTAACAAAAGAATGTAAAACATTCTTTATTACATAATGAGCAGTGTTGGATTTTGGATTCTACTCAATAGAATATATTCATTTTGAGTTGTCTCACATCGTTTATATAGAGAAAATAGACTTAATTTATAAGTCTATGAGCTATTACTCATCTTTTCACCAATTGGTTTCGGGATTGAATCTCATTTGGGTTTCAACTGGGCATTCACTGTGTTGGTATGCTTCATCTGCCTGCGTAGAACCGCACTCGTTTTTCTCCTTGTTTCTTACACTACTTTCTGTATTCATTTGTACATATAAAAAACCAGAGTTTTGCAAGTTACAACTTATTCACTAAAACAATCACTTTGCAGTTTCTTTTAGATTTTATCACACACTAAAAACTTGTATGCTCATATTGTTTTTTTTGAATTCTACTTCAATAGATATCACTTGTTTTAACCGCAAACATTTGATAGAGAACGAAAACATGAACCGTCACGTAACGTGAAAACTAGTCATGTGGTCTTGAGCTGTGCCGATAAAACAGAAAATGTACTTTCTGGCAAGAAGTCCTCCACAAAAATGGCTTCGTAAAATCCGGTGGTAACAAATTTGGGCAGGCATTTTTCGCTTATCATTTGGACTGAGAAGAAGATGAGTGTAAAATGAGAGGAGAAAAATGATCCCCTTTTAGAGTCATCATCACCATTTTGTGTGTGTGTGTGTGTGTGTGGTGTTGTTGGTTGCTCTTTTTCCTTTCATACAAGTAGTGCACTGCCCATGTGGTGTACTGTAGATCATGAAAATGATGATGGTGATGGTTTGTCCAGAAATCAAACTTTTGTCTGCATTTGTTACAGCTTTTAATTAATGTAGCAAATGCTGGAGTTTTGTAGTTTATCAAGTGTGTGCCCCAATGCTTCACACGCAGAAAATCTAAAAGATTTAATTTTGAGTAAAAAACTACATGCATGGCGACTATGCCAAAGAAGTACACAAAGAATGCCTCATCTCTAGTCTCTACCACACTATGTGAATTTCATAGTTGGAGATTAATAATAGGTAATCTAACTTTTCTTATAAAATTCAAACCGACCGAACTAAGATTTTGGTGTAAATTTGCGATGACTTAAATGTAAAAAGAATTTGTGCAAACCGACCGAACTACACCCACCTGGTTGATTTTTTCAGTCGATTTGTGCAAATCGAAGGCGGTTGGACAGCGCTTAACACTTGGACCGATTTTTAGTACATTTTGTAATAGACATAAAGCTAGAAAAAAGGCTAGCAGTTTCACTTGTCCTATTCCTATCTATTTTATCATACAAGTGTACCTAAAGCTTGATTCAGTTTGATGAGGGGCCACCACATTCACGGGAGAAAGAAACTATTGTTGGAAAAAACAACTATTTCATCATAATACATAATCCCTTCCATTTAAAAAATAAAAATAAAAATAAAAATAAAAAAAATCAAGGGCTATAGCATATATTACCAGAAATAAGCCTAGACAGGGACAAAGGCATCCAATAAAATCATACATGTGGACATACTATTCTCCATTTATCTTTCCCACAATTTTTTTTTTAAACAATAAATAACATTGAATTCTATAATCTATACTCAAAAATTTGTTGTGCATTATATATTGACAAATGACATAAATACTAATCTGTTCTATAGTCCCAACAGTTCTTATTAGAAAAGTAATTGAACCCTATCGCAGTAAAAAAAAATATATATATATAATAATTGAATGAAAAACATTTCTTTACTAAATTACATTGCACCAAATTGCATGACTCTGTCTCGGTTTTCTATTTTACCTCGATTTTTTTAGACATTTGTATTTAATTTTGTACTGCCGGTGCAAAATCACATCCAACTCAAAACAGGAAAACTAAAATTGTAAAAAAATTATAACCAAACTGCAAAAACAACAACAACAACATAGTCTTTTAGTCCTAAGCAAGTTGGGGTAGGCTAGAGATGAATCCCAAGAGAACTAATGGTAAGAGAAACACAAAAGGGCTCAAAATAAAAAGAAGAAATTGGAGCAAAAGTCACGATTCAGACACATTGATTGCACCACGGTGTAAGAA